TGCAAGTTCTTCTTTTCTCAATCTCTCTTCTTCTTCTTTCTCTTGATCATTCTCCACAACTCAAAGTTCAACATAATAACTCCTTTCTTTTCTTGAAGAAACTACACAGGATATTAAGTATGATAGTTAGTCAAAATATAAAGTAAATAATTTATGTAAGCTTTTTGCTCTATTATTTGACATCATCAAAACTAATCATATCTAACATGAGACAAAAGTCCTAGTAACCAACCTTTCCAATTCAGAGTACAAACTAATAGGTGCTCGTGAGGTGTCAATTGGGGCAGTTAACATGTAATATTATAAATGATAGCCACAACAAATCATGCAAGTGTAACGATGCTACCCATTATCAAATCCCTCACTTTGGAGGATTTACAAGAGTTGAACCCGGCCTATCCCTCACTATGGGGAATGTAAAGAGCCACCTATCATGCATTAATGGAGGCCTTACCATTTGGTAGTAACAATCAAGTCTCTCACCAAATCCCAACATATATATCATGCACAAACGTCTTTATCGAAGAGTAAATACACTATTTCACAAGTAACTTTAATTAGTGGAATATCTTTCAAAATTTCCCAATACATTCAATATTATACAAAACGCCACAAGACAATTTCTCTTTCAATATACAAAATACCTTTAGAACACCATATATTACTTGGAGCACAAAAATATAAATCCATTCCCAGTACCATAATAACATATACAAAGAATTGGAAAGTGGTTACCTCTCACCTGAGCAAGGAATAATCAAAACACTAACGATGCCCGGTGTACCAACAAACACTCACAACAGGTCTACGTAAGCACACAAACGCGCAAACACCATGTATTAGTTAACAAACTAATAGAATGGTCAACACAACACTTGGGGACTCAAAATTCCTAGCCTCAACCAAAACTCTACCCAACTCATAAGGTCCAACCCATCACAATAACACTCCAAAAACCACAAGAGGCCATTATCACTCTAGTTCCCTTCCAAAAATCCATTGGATTCAGAAACTCATAGTCCCACTCTAGGAATTCATCACCCAAATACCCAATTAGAACAATTGAAGTCTTAACAACATCCTAAACCAATTACATCCAATTTCAACCCTCCTTAACATAACCCAATGCACAAAACTCAATTTTAACCACTACATTATCATCCTCAATCATAAACCTCCATTTTCAAAACTCCAAATTCTCAAAACTTCAAAATCTCCAAATTCAAGAAAACTACACCAATTAAACACTTAGATTAACCCATAACAATCATTTAAACTCAAAACAATTGGTCAAAAACCTTAATTCCATCAGAAAGTAGAAAGCCCTAAGATTTCTCTACAAAATCCTAAAAAATCCCAAGAGAAAGAGTAGATTAGAGGTTAGATTCACTTATTTGAGGTAATGAACCCTTAGAAACACCTTCTCCAAGCCAAAACACCGAAACCCTAGTAGAGCACCACTTTGCTCCTTTAGATTGTATTTTTCGCATGTCAAACCCTTCCTCCAGATTTAAAGACGCGAACATTCGTCGCGGTGAACCCAAGCCTTGGTCGCAACTAACTAATCTCGAGAGGGATTTTCTAATTCAGGAACCCAAATTCATCGTAGCCAACACCCATTTCGTTGTGGCGTCCCCTTAACTTAGCTGCTACAAAACCCTATTCCCGAAAGGAAGCTTTCCCAATACTCTCCAGTTCGTCACGACGAAGTTTCACTTCCCTGCGGCGAACACATCCTAAGAGGGATCTATTCACCTACTCCTCCAACTCACTTTGATCCCAAACCAGACACCAAGGTTCAAGCTTAAACACCAATTATCCTCAAAATCAACCAAAAAGGGCTACTAAAACTCAAAATAAAGCTCAGGACGTTACACCACTTGTTGGATTTCTTAAGCATGATGCATATAATGGGTTGGAGAGTGAATTGTATTTATTACTGTCACATGATGAGTGCCTCCATTAATGCATGATGGTTGGCTTTTGGCACTTCCCCCATAGTGAGGAAATGTCCTCCTTAGTCTGTATCCCCCAAAGTGAGGGATCAGCTTAGAATTATCTCCCAATGTGAGAGATTAGCCATTTTGGCTCTTGTTTTCCCTTATAGTGAGGGAGTGTGGTCATTGGGATTGCATTTGTATGATAGCATTGATACATTGATATGACACTTGAGAATTATGTTTTAAACTATGGGTATAGTGACGCATGACTACTTATTATTTATAACTGTCTCACTTGACACCTCACGAGCACATATTGAACAATTGGTCAAAAACCTTAATTCCATCAGAAAGTAGAAAGCCCTAAGATTCCTCTACAAAATCCTAAAAAATCCCAAGAGAAAGAGTAGATTAGAGGTTAGATTCACTTATTTGAGGTAATGAACCCTTAGAAACACCTTCTCCAAGCCAAAAAACACCGAAACTCTAGTAGAGCACCACTTTGCTCCTTTAGATTGTCTATTTTTCGCATGTCAAACCCTTCCTCCAAATTTAAAGACGCGAACATTTCGTCGCGGTGAACCCAAGCCTTGGTCGCAACTAACTAATCTCGAGAGGGATTTTCTAATTCAGGAACCCAAATTCATCGTAGCCAACACCCATTTCGTTGTGGCGTCCCCTTAACTTAGCTGCTACAAAACCCTATTCCCGAAAGGAAGCTTTCCCAATACTCTCCAGTTTGTCACGACGAAGTTTCACTTCCCTGCGGCGAACACATCCTAAGAGGGATCTATTCACCTACTCCTCCAACTCACTTTGATCCCAAACCAGACACCAAGGTTCAAGCTTAAACACCAATTATCCTCAAAATCAACCAAAAAGGGCTACTAAAACTCAAAATAAAGCTCAGGACGTTACACCACTTGTTGGATTTCTTAAGCATGATGCATATAATGGGTATTGGAGAGTGAATTGTATTTATTACTGTCACATGATGAGTGCCTCCATTAATGCATGATGGTTGGCTTTTGGCACTTCCCCCATAGTGAGGAAATGTCTCCTTAGTCTGTATCCCCCAAAGTGAGGGATCAGCTTAGAATTATCTCCCAAATTATCTCCCAATGTGAGAGATTAGCCATTTTGGCTCTTGTTTTCCCTTATAGTGAGGGAGTGTGGTCATTGGGATTGCATTTGTATGATAGCATTGATACATTGATATGACACTTGAGAATTATGTTTTAAACTATGGGTATAGTGACGCATGACTACTTATTATTTATAACTGTCTCACTTGACACCTCACGAGCACATATTGGTGTGTATGATGAGCTGGACTATTAGTTACTAAGGCTTAGGTCTCACCCCGTGGTTATTAATATTTCAGGTAAAGGTTCTAGGGTTACGCCATCACGGAAGAATCTTGAAACCTAAGCTCTTATAGCTTCTCGTACTGCCTTTGTCCTTCTTTTTTATATGTGTTGAAGGGTTGTATATTGCCACCTAGGGCCCCTTTCTTTTGCATACTCTAATAGTTAGAGTTTTGATTATTAAACTGGTTTTATGGATTTTAGTGTTGGTAGTAAGCCAAAGGCCTTAGAGTTGTACTTGTGACTGTTTTGCAACTTATGGATTAATTACGATATGTGATACTGGCTAATCAGTATTCTATTTATGTTTGGGCTTGGTATTGGTATCACTCCCGGTTTGATACTTGAAAGCTAATTTGAGATGTTTGGAATTGTGATTGGTTGTGTTAATTAGGGGCTTATTTCTTATAATCATGTTAGCAGGAATTAAATCATTCCTAACCTGGTTGTGTTTGTTCTAATCACTCAAAATCTTTTATTCAAGAATATTTCTAAAGGATGAGTTGACAACTTTCTATTATGGTAGCCTTGTGTAACTACTTTTCTTTTCTACTACAGTAGTATTTTCAAATGATAATTAGGAGGTGATTTTACATTAGGCGGGTCATTTGAATTGACAAAAGGATGCACAGTGTCACCCTCTACATCCGCAATCTCAATTGCAAATTCAATCTCATTCTATAATAGAATAAGCTTGACTACGACATAGACTCCGATGATTGCTTTTCATCCTCTGCTGAACACTTTGAGAAAGGGAGCCATATATATACATATTTTTTTATTTTTAGTTTGTGTTAGTTATTTCTGTTTTTTTTAGTTATTATTATATTTTGGAAGGAGTTGTAGCTCCTTATATAATATATAAATATACAAAAAAATATAAAAAAGTATTAAAGTAAGGAAATACATGACGGTTGTGTAAAGAAGACAGTGATGTGAAAAATAAATAAACAAAATACATGCAAGTTTTGTAGTAAAGATTGTAACATTCCACATTTTAAGACTCCAAGAACATAGGTCAATAAGTATCTATGAGCTTCAAAGGAATTATTTTTAGAAATTAGAACCTTAATAATATTTTTGATGGCTAAAAAGCTCAATTTGGGTGAGAAATTAAGGAGAAATAATTATTAAAATTATTTAATGCCTGCAAGAATTTGAAGAAAAATCATTAAATATAATTTTGAGTATATAGAAAATTTATGAAAAGGTTTATTTCTTCAAAAATATCTTAAATCATTTTAAAGCTAATTTGTACAGTTAAAGGGCCTATTTTCCTGAAAATTCAAAGAAAAATAATTAGAGGTTTATTTTTAAGCTGAAATTTTTAGGATAATTATTTATTGAGTAAAAAAAAGATAATTAAGGTATAAATCCCTAAAATATATTAAATATATATTTATGGAATTAAAATATATTTTCTTGAAAAATTCAAGAAAAATAGTTATGAGTTATTTTTTTACCCAAAATTTTTAAAGAGGTTATTTAATGGGCCAAAAAGACAATGGAGGAAGAAAATCCATACAAAGCATCAAGGATTAGATTTTGGAATTGTTTGATGTTTCAGAAAATACTTAAAGGATGCAACAGCGAACAAAAATTAGCTGAACGGCAAAATTGTCATTGGGTATAACAAAACCCATCAGCCCGGCCTCTCCTTTATTTTCACGACAAAAAAAGCAGAGTTGAGAGGGACCGAGAGGAACTAAGAGAAGAGGAATACGGCGAAGGAGAAGAAGAAGAGCTTGACGGTGGCGCTATCTTTGACATGTTAGCTGTGCTTTGAGTCAAGGTAAGCTTCTACATCATGATTTTACCTCCATTTTCTTCAGTTGCTTGGTTTTCTGCAAGCTATTGGTGAGAGAGGGAGCTTTGTTTTAGGGAGAGAGAGAGGAAACTATAGAAATGCATGTATAAATGATAAAGAATGATGGGATATAGGTTCTATTGTTTGTCTCTTGGCTTGCATGATCGATAATTGCTGTGGGAAGATTGCCCTTGGTTCTGAACCTTGCTAATCAGAGGAGTTTCTTCGAATGGTGGAAGGTATTTTTCTTTTCAAAAATCTGGAAATTCCGTATTGGAGTCCACTGCTGTTCGGATTTTTTTTTTTTTTTTTTGGGAATAGGGTAGTCATATGGTAAGGAAATGGCACGGTTTAAGTGATATCAAGTGTATGAAGATGAATGCTATAGACTTCTCTTTTCCCCTGTTTCGGACAGTGTTGATAGACTGTGGGGGAGTTGAATTTTGTTAAATAGGCATCTTAAACAATTAAAGCATGCTTCAAAGCTCCCAATATGATGGATAGAATAACATTTTGATGTTGGAAATTCTTCAGAATTTTGATGGGATGGCTATTCGAATCAGAAGGAACTAATTGTATCAGACTAATGGGTTATAGGATATATATATATATATATATTTATATTGTGTTGACAGCTTTAGGGCCTAAATGGTTAAGTTTGGAATTAATGAAGTGGCTGTTTTGATATTGGGTGCTTGTTGGAATTGAAGTTTGGGAGTGAAACTAAATAGAACTCATTGTTTAAATCCTCCCACATGTTATACAGGTGTTTAAAATTACCTAAGCATGTTGAGGACGCCAAAATGATGATCTGAATACAGTTATTGAATCTGGAAAATTTCCAGATTTAATGAGGATTAATGTCCAAAAATGATGAGAAAGATGGAATGTACAAATGCGGAAATAGAAAAGCAATATAAGTGCTAGTAATTGGTTTGTTACTGGGATATATATTGAAGCTGAAATTTGGATTGTAACTAAGGGGAAACTTACTGTATTGATAATTTAGTTAATGTTTAGAAAGCTCGCAATTTTTAGAATTATTAAAAGTCATGCGGTCCGAAATTTTGAAGGATTAGAGTAACCAAGTGCCTAAGGAGTTGTTTGTTCAGAAATGAATATGCATTAAATTTGAAACTTAGGAAGCTTAAGATTGATGAGGTCTTGCAGTTTGAAACTCCTAGGAATCAAAGGAGAAATTAGACTGTTTAAGCATGTTAAATACTTCATTATGACAACCAAAACGATATGGTAGTTGCTAGAAAATTTTCAGACTTAAAAGAGGAGCTCTTTGAATGATTTAAAGCATTATGAAAGCTATAAATTCAAGTGAACCTTATTATTATTACCTTTTAATGTCTAGCAGCTAATTCAGGTGGTTAAGATCATGGTCAAAGTGTTAGAAGGATGATTACAATGTTAAGTATAAGCTGCAAAATTGAATGCAGTTGCTGATTGTTGCTTCCAATGTCTAGCAATTAAATTAGATGGGTTAATATAATTTTTAGTTCATTTGAGGGACCGAAAGAAACTTGGGGGACCAAATATTAGATTCAAGATTATAATTTTATTTTTTTGAAATCAAAGGACAAGTTACAACTTGAGAATTACAACCAATCAGTCAAACTAAAGAACGGAAACAACCTATTAAATAAGATCAATTCTCAGTCAAGCATTATATCTTGATGGGTTTCTTGCAAAATCTGTTTCAAGCATATGATGAGGCTTTTTATCCAGAGTTTGCATAGTGAATGGTTTCATTCTGCGCATGTCGAAGTTTCATGTCGCAATAACTACCAAGACCAAAGCACTTGTGGATTACGGTAGTTTCTGAATTATTTTTTTAAAAGTAATTATATGGTATACAAGATAAGCATATGAAAGGAATATTGTTTCGAACTGTGTGAAATCATTTTTCAAGTGCAATTTGTGTAAACCAAATTCCCGCTAGTCCTTGAGTGTGTTTATTTACATGGAAGTTTGTCAAGGATGCTTTGCCATCCAGAATGACACTAAATCGTCATCACCACCCTATTGAAATTATTACCTCTGATTCTTAATATATAGCCTAGTTAACGATTTTGAGGAAATTAAGAAAGTTAAATAAATTATTTTAAAGTATCATATTTATTGTTTTCTTCAAACTAATTTGCTCACCTTTTAAACTGATATAATCTAATAATACATATAAATATTTTAGATATATTGTGTAACATATGTTATAATTAAGTAATTTTTTAAGGACCAGAAGTAGTATTTGTCTTTTTTGTCACTCCTTGTGTAGTTTCAAACTTTTCTCATGATAAATGGACATTTATCTTACCCCTTTGACTGTACGGTTTCTATACAGACTGAGGATAGTGTTTAGGCGAGTATTTTTGGAATGGTGTGTCTGTTCCTATAGGTGCCAAACGGGGAGTGTCGGATTGTATTGTTCTTTTACGTTCTTTCACGGTTTATAGATATGCTTAGATTATTTGTCTTGTAATGTTATATGTTCATAAAAATGTGACCATTAGCCAATTAGCTAGATATAGGTTGTGTGTAGAGCCAGAAAAATGGACCAAGCTTGTTAGGCCGACCTGCTTAGACCCGAAAATTACAAGGGTTGGGTTTAAAATTTTTTCTTTCAAATGGGAAATAGGCCTTATAGGGCCAGGGTAGGGCCGGCCCATTTAGGCCCTTATATATACACACACACATATATTTTTAAAATTTTTTGTATAATTTTAATATTATTAATTTTTTATATTGCTAATGACATTTCAAATATTTAATTATTGTTATCATTTTAAAATTAAATTTCACGAAATGGTTTGATTTATTTAGTTCTAGACAAGAATTTGTCCAATTACATTTTTAAAAAATAAGTTAGTTTGGACTTTAATAATATTTGATTTATATTATATGTGTTGATATTGTTAAACTATATATATTTGATAAGAGAGTATTTTTATACTTATATAACTTGTGATTCTATAATTTGAATTAGAAATTTATAAGTTTTAACAACAATGTTTCTCAAACTAATATAAAATAATAGCTAGACTGTAAAAATTTAAAAGTGAAATTCTTATAAAAAAGAAAAATTTGATATTTTTGTTATAAAAGAAAAGCATACTTATTAAGAAAAGTAATTGATTATAGTGATGATGAAGTTTCAAAAGATTAATGATAGTATTTGTTTATTGCACATTGGCACTATAGATGAAATTTTTAGATGTTTTTATCTTGTTGATGAATGTTTTAGATGTTCTTGGATGTTGATAGATATTTATATATAATTATATTTTGTATTTGTGACTTAATTTTATTCATATTTATGCCTTTTATTAATAATTTTATTGGTTTTTTTTATTTTTTTGATGAAAAATATGAAAAATAACATTTTTTTCCTTAAATGGGTTGAAAGCCTGCGAGTCGGTCCTGAGCCTATTAGTTTAAGGGTTGGGTTTAATAAATTGAGGTATTTTTAAAATTTTGACTGTGTAGGGCCGGTCCTTTTAAGCCCGTTTGTCCTGTAGAGCTGGGCCAGTCTATATTCTTACCTCTAGTTGTGTGTGTATTATTAATATGTTTCTTCTTTTTATTATTACTATAAACGTTGGCATAAAGTGGCATGAAAATGGACCAGCATGGCAAACAAAGCAGATGATTCTCCACGTCATCATCCAACTTTAAAGCTTCTATAGAAACCCCAAAGCAGAGCATCGTGACGATATATCAATATATCAACAAAAAAGATATTATACCATAAGTCAATTTATTATTTTCGAATAAAATTCTAAACAACACGGCCCGTTTTTCAAATTCCTCTTTGCCATCTTATTGTAACATAAGAAAGGAAGATGCTACAAAATAACCAAAAGAAAAGGTTCAATTGTTGAAAATATTCTACAGGGCTTTAAACAAGCTTGTCTCATTTCTCGCCATTCCACGGCTGTGTCCAATGGTTTCCTTTATTATTATAATGACCAATTAGCTTACACATTCGCCATCCCTGAACTTTAGAAATTCTTTCCACTTGTTGTTTGGATGGTGCAAGCACTACTTCAAATGGTGTTCCATTAAAGAAGCCATCTCAATCTGTAGCGCACACATGAATTAAAGCTATGATCCAAAAACAACCCTAAATAAAGATAATATCAAGTGTAACCAGAAATGCATAAATGGGAAGTGACAGACTGAACAGTGAACTGGACAAACAAATTAAACCCCATTTCTTTGTACCAAAAATATCATCATAAAAGAGAGGGCAAGGGTAACTCAACTTTTTGGCTTAAAGCATCTACTATTATCTTGGACCTTGCCCATTTCAGTTGGAAAATTGTTAAAGGCTGAAACTACTCCAGATCAAACTGGACAGACTTTACCACCAAATATTTAACATGGTTGCATTCCCAAGGCCCGAACTTAATACCTCTCTCTGAGGGTACAACCCCATGTCATTTGAACCAAGTGTTTGGTGGCAGGAGAAAACCACTTTCAATTACTTAAATAATCACTGCTAAGCATAAAACACTTTTCTGTTTTTGGTTGAGTCGGTTGTAACATAATAATAAATAAAGGGATAATATGACGATTGAGAAGTGAATCAAACTGCTTCCATCCCTCGACATTGGAATGATCTTTTTAAATATGGTTTACAATGGAGTCTTGTTAACAGAAAACTGTAATCAACTAATGAATAATATTTTTCTGGTGAATATTGATAAAACTGAAACTTAGGTTGGAGAGTAATGATCACTTCTCACCAACCCCTTCTCAAAGCACACTTGCACGTACAGGTGTCATAAATAAGTTATGTAAATGAACGAACAAATTAAGTTAAAGTGGCTTCATATAACTTCACAAATGATTGTTGGATAATATCATATCAACTTACAGCTGTTAATGCAGCCTCTGCTCCCTTATTTCCAGATTTACCACCAGCTCGATTCAGAGCCTGGAATTAGCAGAAAGCAAACAAATAAACATCTTAACAATCACAATCCTAATTAGCAACAAGAATTTTAAGAAACTCAAAAGAACATGACTGACTACAAACTTACTTGATCCATATTTTCACAGGTCAGGACACCAAATATGCAGGGAACTCCTGCAAAGTCATCTCAGAAATGCTTCAGTTTCTCATCTTGGTGGCAATTGGGGAATGAAGACATGGTAAATCACAGAGAGTTGAAAATAATAGAATGAAGACTATCGTCAAGGCATGTGAGAGGAAGCATAAGGTTGGTAGCAGAGGAGAGAAGAGAATAGAAGAGGAAAATTATCTGACAAATGTTGAGATTGTTAGCATCAAGGGATTAGTTAGAAAACTCTTACGGGCTCACACGAGGACTAAAACAAATTAAACTCGTTTGACTAAATACTTAAAGCAAAGATAGATAAATAAATAAGAAGATTTCAGAGGGAGAGCATAGATATCACTCAACAGTACTTCATTTTTAAGAAGTTTTATCCATGTTTGATGTTAGTCAGAATGTTAGTTAGTAAACATAGAAATTGATCTAAACTAAATATTTTTGTGATTGTCATTTAAATTCAAAGGGTGAAAATAAAACCAACTTCAAATCGAAATGTTATCAACTAGCACACTGAAGGTTAATGCCACAGCAAATTATCAGGGAAATACAAACAGCATTAACAGGCTTAAGCATGACTATTTTGTTGCTGTATGAACATATTTATAAGAATTTATACAGTAAATAAATAGAAAATACCTGAATGTAGACCAGCTGAAAGCACACCAGATCCTGTCAAATTTGCAACTGCATCATAGTGGGTAGTATCACCTCTTATCTATTTGCAATAACCAATGGTTGCAATAGTAACAAGAATTTAATCAATAACATATCATCAGCCAAGAGTATAGAATAATAATTTTTCCATTCAAAAGATTAAACTTGTTATCACCATACCACAGCTCCTATGCATAAGATTGCATTATATTTTTGTGATTTACCCATTCTTTCTGCAACAACACCAATCTCAAAACAACCTGGAACCCACACAACCTGAAGTAGGAAAAATCACAGTCATCTCTTTGCTACAAAAGTATAAGCAACGCAGAAGGCAACGTTAACCTAAAGAATGACTATTAATATGCAATTGCACGAGACAAAATAAATTAAATTATATATTTATCCTTAAGCTGATCTATGTAATACAGATAGTTATAGGATCCAGAATAGGGCAATTCTACCTTGCTTCATAGATAATTTAACTTTTGCTGCCAATGAAAGCAATGGGAGATAACATATTTATTAGGATACAAAGACTGATAGTTGCACAATCTTCTCACTAAAGGCAAACTAACAAAAAAAGATAAAGTTGGGTAGGTATTGCCAAGTAGATATTTACAGGGGGAAAAAATGACAGACAAACAGATACATATAGAGAGCGGAGCGGGGGGAAGAAGAAGAGAGAATACATCATTTACAAATAAGAAATAAGCCATTTTCTGAATATAGCTCTAGGTCATGAAACCTAAGCATTAATCCAAAAAAAGAAAAACAAATAATGGAGGAACAAAAGAGGAAAACAAGGTAAGAAGTGTCAACCCAATGTAAACATGTAACAGACAAAAACAAAATGAAAATTAAATCAATAGACTACCAGGCCAATGAAAAAATGTGTAAAAAAAAAAATGCAAATAAAAAATTAATGTTATTCTGAAATCCATACGTACATCAATATCCTCATCTTCAACCGAATAATTCTTCAAAGTATTCAGAGCTCCCTCCAAGAGCTGCTTAGTGACAATTTCATTAAACCGGGCAACAACCTTAATGATGAAAGACTATAGGTCAGAACAGTAAAATAATCAAAAAGAAAATCTTTATCATTTCTATCCGGTTTGCAATGGAAACGAGAATGCAGACTTTTGAAGATATGCTAACTTCCTCAAGATTTCTTTGCAACTCTCACAATATGAAATAAGCAATAAATCTCATATATGGTAGAAATTTACATATATGAGGTTACAACTGCAAAGGTTGCCAAGATTCATGCCATTAAAAGGTTACCAAGACACAGTTCCCCCTAATAATTTCATATACAATGGATTTGGGACCCAAGTATATCCAAATGCATACTAGAGACAATCTACCAGATAGATCAAATAAAACAGGAACATCAAAATATTATGACTAACTGACAAGTAAAAATCAAGTAGTTTTTTGCCGTAATATTTGGTAAACTTACCACAGCAAAACGAAGTCCTTGGGTTCTTGTCACTGAACCAGTCAAATGACGTACAACAGCAGACGGAGCAAGAGATGATCGACCCTTTCTTTGAACAGCAACAAGTGGCATAATTTCTGATGCTAATGAAGGAAACCCATGAATATATTAAAATACTAGTGCCGCTTGGAGACAAGAAAATGAAACGGCACAAAAGGAGAGGTGAAGCATCTTAAAATTTTTTAATTTTTTGCCATTGTCATAAGTCGTAGCAAACTTATTCCCCTGAAATCAGATCCTTCTAAGGTTATCATCAATCACTATGAATGGTACAAAGAAATGCTACCTCGTGTATAATGTGAAAATGAACGTTGAGTTCGTCTTTGAGGTCCCTTGTACAGGTGCAGGTTGGTGGTACTATCACATGACTGAATGGGGCTAGAATGGGGCAGAAATCCAAGCGGGGGCTGATCGACATGAATGAAGCAACCAGTGGAAACAAACAATGCCATTCCAAGCACTGTCCTCAATAACGATGTACGTGCCTAAGAGGCTAAAAGAAAATGATGGGAGAATCATAAATATGTATTTTTGGCCACTAGAAATAACAGTAAAATACTCAGATTGAAGTAATCAAAGAAATCTCGATGAATTGGATATTTTAAGGTAAAGATGAATGGAATGTCAGGATATTAAGACACTAAGAGGAAAAGATTCAAACAAACAGAGGTTCTTCAGCTTCCTCTTGTTAGATCCCCGGGTACGTTTGGTTCAACAAAGGGGAGGGGATGGTTTCTTACTGATCTATTCAGGTGCACCTTCCAAACTGCATAATTTATTTTTTTCACTCTAATCCCAACATATTGTTGAAGGCAATGTAAATTTTTTTTAAATATCTTAAATATATCATAAAATATGAGGCATCGTTATTAAACAGATCATAAAACTCACTTATTTTTCTTTTCCGTAAATTTCCTTAATTTCATTTCTCAACATCAAATAATGAAGATATATTATGATGCAAATAGATGTAGGAAATTGCAAAGTGATCATACAATTAAGTTTGTCAAATGTTCTACTTGTCAGAATATATCATTTGTTAAGCTTGTAGATGGACATTGAACCAAAGTCCTAAGCCTTTCAATATCACTCATAAGAGAGCAATAGACGTCAGGTATTTTTATTCCATATCATATCTATATTCTCCAAGCATGTTCCAAATTTCTTCTAAATCAGAAAACTTCAAATAATACTAATGGCCACACAAATTCTCGTCTCTTTCTGTACACAACTAATCTGAACCTAGGGAAAAACTACGTTGTTTTCTTTAACTTGTTCTATCATATAGCATCACATATATAACCATAGGCAGACTCATTTTATACTCAGTAGGGGCATTCGTCCCCCTGGAATCTTCAGAATTTGCATAATTGATATCATGTCCTTTTAATTTTTGCTCCAAATACTTTAATGCCTTAGCAAGCCAACTGATTCAGGCAAACCCCTTGCCCCAAGCCGCTGAAGAATGACAATGATGACACTCCTTTACTTTATGATTACAAGTGTTTCCTAGAGTGTGTAAGACGCACAATTGAGCGATTCTGTCAATAGCTTCCAAATTCGTAGACCAATAAGCAGCAGGAAATGATTTAAACTCAAGCTTTTAAATTGCCAGACACAAATGGAACCAAATCATTGACCAGATCATGCATGCATCACAAATACCTTACCAATTTTCTAAACGAGCAATGTAATATAAAGAGATTAGTAAACAGGATGCCAACACACAGCAAATTCAACAATCCACAACAACACAATCCAAAGCATATGTGTTGCTAGTAATCAAAATGAATAATGCAGAACTCTGATGGTCAATTACAGACCATTCAAGCAAAAACTAGCAATCAAAGTTCTAAAAGAAATTTAAACCCAATCTGTAAACTCAATGGAGTCAATATTCAAACAATTACACGACCAGAGTCAAAGCCAACTTAAAAAGAAAAGCTTAAAGCAAAACAAGAAATGGTGCAATGGCATCCAACACAGGGTTGAAAACCACGTAGGTAAAAGATGACGTGGGGAACAAATTCAAATGCAGATTCGAAACCAGCCTGAACAAATCAATCCCACCGGATTTTGGGATAAGAAAATGCTGAGGGGATCGAACCTTCTTGAATACTTGCCGGACGCAGGTCTGACGAAGGCGAACAGCGTCTGATGGCGAGCTACGACCAAGTGTGGAATGCTTGTTTGTTGACAAAGAAAATGAAACTACTACTTCACTAGAATAGATTGTGTTTTATAGGCGTTATAGATGTAATTCATTTTTTAATTGATTTTTATAAAAATTAATATGCATCTGCTTATAATTTTACTAAATTTTTAACTATATACTTATAATTTTTATTAATTTTTCAATCATAGACATTCATCTTTATATTCATAATATATTAATTATGGTTAATGTAAAGTTGACTAAGCACATTCCCACAAAGTCCAAAAAAAATTTTAAAAATAAAATTTATTTATTATAAACATAATAAAAAATTATTACACCTCTTTACGCCTACATATATATATATATATATATTTTTTTTTTTACGAAGACTTTATTATTCTTCTGTCGTCTTTTGATAATTTTGGATTTTTTTTCCTTTTACCCAACTACCAAACATCAAATTGAAAAATTAAACACACACCCATCATACTTCGAATCCCTAACCTCATGTTCAAGAAAGTCTTGAGATTTATTTGGAATAGCTTATAAGTAACTTTTCAAATGTGATTTAGAATATATGACATAAGTATATAAAAAAAAGTTTTGTTTTGATTCATAAGTATGTAAACATGTTTATAAGTACTTATTAATTGCAGATCTAAACAAACTCTTAAGAAAATTGGTGTTAGTTGGTTCAGGGCCTTGACTTAGGACTTGTTTGGGATGGTAGTAGAATTCTTCAAAAGTAACTTTTTAATGATAATTTATAGAATGTGAGGTAAGTATGTGAGAAAAGTTGTTTTGACTTACATGGAGAAATACTTTTAGAAATCCCAATTGGGATTCCAAACAAGAAATTACTAGTTGAATTATGGATATTCATAATTCATATAACATAAATTCACAATTAAAAAAGATTCCAACAGCTATCATAAGCATGATTTTTGGATGTAAATACTCATGATTCTCCCCCAAGATACTTAGGCATGATTCTGAGCAAATTTTTGGTGAGATTCACGCTTAACTATTAAACTGTTCATAAACCTTATGTTATTAGCATCCTCAAGCTTCTCTTCATTATGTTAGGTGCATCCATTCCCATATAAAGAAAGTTCATTTTTTAATTTATTTTGTTGTCTAAAATAATATTGGTCATGTGATTGTAATCACTTCGGAATAATTTCAATGGCAAAATAACATACCGAATATAACTTAATTTATATTTTTTTATTTGTCAGCAAAATTTAATTTCTATAATACATATTATTTTTAAAATGGAATGATGAAATAAAATTTATCTATTGTCAATGCAGTAAACAGATTATTATGCTCATAATCATTTCCTTGCGCACGCAAACATATAATCTGTAATCTGATTGTTATCAATTTTATTTAGATGCATATGTGATAAAATGTATCAAGTCATATGTTGAGTGATAGCAATATTATTAACTACAAAGTACAAACATTGTTTCTCTGGCAAATAAACAACTTATAAATATAGAAATCTACGTTTGTAATTAAGAAAATTATAACCTTACAAAACACTACAATAACTTAATTAAAAATTAGGTCAAACTACAAATGAATTTCCCCCCTTATTTTTGATAAAAATATTATCGTCCTTTCATCACTTTTTATTATTTTTAGGTTGTTTTGATGTTTTTCATACCCACCTGGCAAACACCAAATGAAAAATTAACCGTTAAAGAAGTCATCAAATTTGTGGTATACATAAATTGAATGAATTTATCAGTTGAACTCCAAATAATTATCATTCGCATGTCATAAATTTGCAATTAAAAAGAATTCATGATATGTGTGTGTGTGGGCGTTTGTAGGAGCATGATTTTTTGGTGTAAATAGGCATGATTCTCACCGCGATATTTAGGCATGATACTCACCATTACCAAATCCTTGTATAAAATTTGGCGAGAATCATGCTTGTAACTAACTACTTTTAAACTAATGAGCAACCTTTTGTTGTTTATATATTAGCATCTCCAGGCTTCTATTTATTGCCCCTCATGTCCTTAACTAGGGAGTTGATGTTGGTCCTATATATAAGACCCATTTCACATGTTTACCATTTTTTTTTTCCAAATTAACCTTATTAATATTCTCCTAATAATAATTAAGTAGGAGAGGGAATGAGGGACTTAAGGAAGATGCTTATGTTGTTTTAGAAAAAACTTATCATATTAGCTAATTTAACTAACATCCTTAATATATTCAAATTAGTTAATTATTTTATATTAAGGACCATAAGAGTATTTAATTAGATGCTTCCATACTTCATTAATGCCATTTGGTATGCAGAATATTTTTTATTTTGTCTTCTCAAAGAATGCCCGTCATGTCATTGTAATCACTACTGGATAATTTTAATGGCAAAGAAAAAATACTGAATATAATTTAATTTCTATTTTTTGACAGCAAAAGTAATCTCTATCTTTTATATTATTTTCTTAAAACTTACTTTTTATTTTGTAGATTTTTTCCCTTCCAGTTTTTTCATCCCATTCCTTTTTCATTCTATGAATGAAATGGATAAGGCTCTTGTAAGTCCAAACAGAGAAAGTCAAGGAACCCTGCAGAAATTATATTATGTAGGACAACTGTGAAAGTTTATATGGTGATGAGACTTCTGGTTAATAACATGTGATTCTAATTTTATTTCACGAATGCATTTTAATATAAATGTTCTATTGTCTTTAAACTTATAATTCATTTTTCTGGATATTTATCCTAGATTTTATTTCCTCCTTCATGCATGCCTTTAAAATCACACATACATTGAAAAGCGTTTGAGGATGGAAAACCAGGATTTTCCAAAAGCCAACTATTTTTCTGTTTCTAAGAGCAGAAAATTATGGTGTGGCCTGTTTAAATGAGAGGGTAAAGCATATTACGCCCAAAATACCCTCATCTTCCTTTAAAAATGCATGAGTCATTAATGCCACTAAGCTGCCTCTTTCTTTTTTTCTTTCTTTTGCCAGCAAAGGTATTTTTTGTCAAAGAAACAAAATTACAATAAAGTTCACAAGACATAAATGTGGTGTTTAGCTAAAAACCAAATTATGGTTTTAAAAGTGATTTTATAATATACAAGAAGTAAATATATGAGAGAATTTTTGTCTCGATTTGCATGGAAGTATTTTTTAAAAGTGATTTTATGATACACGAAGTGTTTGTTTGGTTAAGTGGTGAGAGCTCTAATAAGCCCATTTAAATCTAAATAAGTGATTATGAAACATGTTTATTCTGTTTGAGTAATTTTTATAAAATCCCGATAAATTGTGATTTTACTCTGCTAGTGCACTTTTACGATAATCACCAATGAGTAGCTTTTGCATTTGAAGAATCTTGATCAATTTTTATCAACTGAATTTTCTTCAATCTACCCTCCTACACTCTTCTGAAAATCTCTTCCCAAATGATTGTATTTAATAATATTTATTGAATTCATGTTTTTTTTGGTAATTATACATCCATAAGTGATTTTAATAAATGAAAACCAAATATAATCACAAGTCACTTATAAAACAAAACATATCCAAAACAGAAATCAAGATTAACTAATATCACTTATAGCTAGTGTCACTTAAAAAATTCTTGATGATATAAAATCATAGTTGTTTACTACTAATCCAAACGGGTACGAAGTAAGTTTATGAAAGGAGTTTTGTCTCAATTTGCATGAAAATACTTTTTAAGAGTGCTTTTTCCGTCAACCAAACACTCCCAAAATGGCCCAAACAAAATGAAACCCTAACCCTAAACTACACAAGGAACACAATTCATTCATCATAAAACACCTTGGCAGCTAGTCGCAGCGCTGCCTCCAGGAAGGATAAAGAAACTCCAGTAAACAAGCCGAGAACTAGAGATGGGGGTAATTGAACCACCAATCAATCCCATCCCATTTAGAGACACAATTGCTATTCTCAAAGCAGTTTCGAAAGTACGTCATGTCCATCACGCGCAAGGTAAAGAGCCCTAATACCGGTAACAATAGCACGTTGGTGACCTGTAACACTAAACAAAACCGAACACATCCCGACCAAACACCACTACATCCGTGCACTACACCTATCAGAATCCACTGCCAACCCATGTAGATGAGAAATATGAGAACCAAAGGACTTACCCAATCAAGGGAGAAGAGAAGCAGCCATAAAACTCGAGATTCACAATTTCGTTTGAAAACATCTGGCCTTGGCGTGGACAATATTAAACTCCCATTGATTTCCCTCTCGCCGCACAGATCGAACCCCACTTAACACACACCCACACATACCCAAAACGGAAACCTAAGCCCTCACAACACACATTTGGCAAGAGTGACGCCGGAACTCTAATCGATCAAAGCGTCGAAAAACTTCTGCCAACGAAGGGGAAAACTCTCACCACAAAGAAAGACATGAGGACGGAGACCCACACAAATCCCACTAGATTTGTTCTTTTAAAAAAAAGCTGATCATCATTCAGTGAGGATTAAGGCCAGCCACTTCTTTTGAGTCCAAAAAACACAAGGAGAGCCACTTCTTTCATCTTAAAGACATCCGATTTAATTTAACATTGATCGACAATAATAATTTTTTATCCATTTTAGTATGATAAAAAATATATTTTATTAATTAAAAATATAAAACAATTATTTTTATTATTTTAGTATGTGAATATGAAATTAGTTTATGTCCTTTTTTTGGTAATTTAAATGTGAGAAAGTGATTCTCATTACAACCATCTAAACACTTTCAGTTTATCAATAGCATATTTTCTTTTACATAATCTATTTTTTCTAAAATCTATTATCAAGATAACCTTTTTATCACTTTGTTCCGGAAGCTATTATCTAAAAGCCAATCTAAATACTCATTTAATTGTTTTTCCCTTTGCTACATATTGTATATGATTGTTTTGCTTGCGAGTTGTGGTTGCACGATGATTTTGAGTCCATCAACATATATATTAAGTAAAAATCAATGACAAGCTGAGTCCGTGTTACTTCCATTGCGGCTTCTCATTCAAATTACTGTTCTATAAGTAGTACCAGTGCTATAAACAGTTGGCTCATTGTTTGTAGCTACGTGCACTTTTTATTGTGTTTGATAGTCAGTGCATGCTTTTCGAATGCTTTTGCTGGGACGCATAGATTGGAGTGTCAAATTTTGAAATTTTCTCCGCCTTTATTCATTCTCTTTCTTTCATTTTAAAGCATGCAAGTTTTCCTTCTCCCATACTTTTTGTTTTTCAAGTTATACCCGGCCTTCACTTTTTACTCTCTCCTCTTCAAACATGTTTCCAATTCCAATTCTTTTTTTCCACTTCTGTTTTTTTCCTTCTTCCTCAATTTCTCAAAGGTATCACCACTCTTTCTCTTTGGCTTACAAATATAAATCACATTATATTCATTCACTTTTATTCTAATTTAAGTCTGCAAAAGTTAGATGAAATCAAAATCACTTTTAATTCAAGCACAAGCAGCTAGATGAGTTTAGTGCCATTTTGTGAGCACTTTTTGAGCTGTGGAATAATTATCAAATACTCTTCTGCTTCTTAATATAGGAACTAATTGTTGAGTTGATTTTGGTCCTAAATATAAGACATATTTCTCACATTTATCAGTTTTTCCTAAATTGCCCTTATGGATACTCCCTCAACCATAATCAAGTAAAAGAGGAAGAGAGAATATTAAGAAAAATGATTATGGTGTTTTAGGAAAAGCATGTCATTTTTCTTATAATTAACTAACTTACCTAACTTTCTTAATCGAATCAAATTAGTTAAATAGGTCTTATATTAAAGACCGGAAGAGTATATGATATTAATTAGAGCACACGTTCTTTTCTTATTCTTTGTTTTTTAATCTAGTGAGTGCAAATATTCTCACCGTTTCTCTTTATTATTACACCTTTATTACAATTTTAAGTTTATCAAATTTTAATTATAAATACTAATGTGTATTTTTGAAAATTATTAAAATTCAGTAACTAAATTTATGAGTAAATGATAATTTAACATCTTGTGGAAGGATTAATGTAATTAGGGCTTTCAAATTACAAATATGTTTGACTAATAAAATTTGCATTTTTAATTATACACATATTCTGATTCCGTATATATATATTTTTTGTAGGTTCTTAATTACTCCTCTGGTCCTTAATATATGATCTAATTGAGAAATTGATGTTGATACTATATATATGTAAGAATTATTTTACATGTTTATCTACTTTTTTCAAATTAACCATATTAATTTTTTTCCAACAATAATCACGTAAGGGAGAAAAGGAGGGAATTAATAAAGATACTTATGGTGTTTTAGCAAAAAAAAACATATTAACTAATTTAACTAACTTACTTAATTCACTCAAATTAATTAATTGTATTTCACATTAAGGACCAAAGGAGTATCATTCCATTATTATAATGCATAAGTAGTAGATTTCATGTTTAACTCTCAAAATTTAATCAAGAATTTCATCACCTTCAATCCATTTAGTTAGCTTAGTAAAATTTAATTATCTTTAGTAAAAATAAAAAAATAAAGGCTAAGATATAAATTTGGTCCTTTAACTTTATAAAATGTTTCAATTTGGTCTATTAACTTTCAAAAGTATATTTTTTAGGGTTAAGGATTAAAAAATACCTATGAAAATATACGAAAAGCTTACCTAATATCATGAACTTTTTTTGGATTCAAATTTACCTATCTAAGTTTAAAAAGAGCTCAATAATGTTAGCGCCACTAAAATTAACAAACATCCATTTTTTAGATTGCGGGACCCACGATTTTTGTCATAAAAGTACCAAAATACCCCCAATTAAAAAAAAGGTTAAAGATAAAAAATACCCATGAACTTATACCAAAAGCCACCAAACATTATATAATTTTTAATGAAATACCAAAATACCCCCATTCTCGAAGGGCTATTGCATTAATGTGTGTTGGAAATTAATGATTATAATAAATTTTTATATCCCCAATCTTTATAATTAAAAAAGATTATTAAAGTTTCTTAATAAATTTCTTATCAGCCAATTGTATTTCTTTTTTAAAAAAAACAAAAACCAATCAATTGCCATTGTTATTGTATTAATTGTTATGGCTAAAAATATCTTAATAGCATAAATATTAAGCATAATAATTAAATATTTATGTAACTTATCATGTTTTATATTTTAACATCATTATTAGTTATTCTGAAGTATTTTGATTTTAGATGATTTTTAAATAAAATCAACAAACTAAATATTTACATGTTATAGTATTCAATTGATAATTTATAATTTATAATTCAATTTAAAAAATTATAATTAAATCTAAAAAAAAATTATATGAGGATGCTCTAAAATTTGATTGAAATAAAGAATCTGAATCCATTGTAAGAAAGCAGATCATTGAGAGGTTGGACAGAGATGGTGGTTTCTTTCTTCTTCTTTTTTTTAACTGGGGGTATTTTGGTATTTTCACTAAAAATATTGTAGGTCCCACTATTAAAGGTGGCTTTAAATTTTCTCAAAGAATTGAACATAAACATAAAATAAATTTCAAGTTGATTGTTAAATTTAATAATGTAGATTGAAGGATAAGCACACAACTCCATATGCTGTTGATGCAAACAACTTATTTTCAAAAGATATGCATAATGTCTTCTAAAAAAGATTGGGGATATAAACAACTTATTATTGAAGCTTAAACTTTTTTACACAAGTTATTTCAATTTTAAAAATTTATTATAATTAATAATTTCTAACATACTTTAACACAATAGCCCTTAAAGATTGCGGATATTTTGGTACTTTCATAAAAATTATAGTCTTTGGTGAACTTTTGGTACAAGTTCATGAGTATTTTTGACCCTTAACTTTTTCGTTTTAATTATGAGTACTTTGGTATTTTCATTAAAAAAATATGGATCTCAAACCAAAAAAACATATGTTTGTTAATTTTAATAGTGCTGTCATTATTGAGCTCTTTTTAGACTTATATTGGTAGATTTGAGCCCAAAAAAAGTTCATGATGTTGAGTAAACTTTTGATATATTTTCATGGGTATTTTTGACCCTTGATCCTACTTTTGATCCTCTAACCCTAAAATTATTAGGTTTAAATTATTTTTTTGTAACAATTATGATCGTTTTGAAAATTAGACTTAATATATTAGCATTTAAGAATGTTTTATCAACATTTAAATCTCAATACTATCATTTTTTGTTAACAATTCTAGGATTAAAGGAATAAAAATATATTTTTTAAAGTTAATAAATCAAATTGAAATATTATATTAAGTTATAGGACTAAATGTATAATTTAGCCAAAAAAAAGTTAATTACACATGCTTGAATTAATATACATGGAATAATCTGACCGACTTTTATTCTTATCTTTATGCAGCACTAGCAACTCCAAGAAAATAGTCATACTGAGAAAATATTATTTCCTTCTGTTTCTTTTCTTCCCTTCGACAACGTGGTTCTTCTTCCTTTCGTCACGAGCTCCATACACTCCTTTCTCAACTGGTTTCACTTATCACAATTTTGAGCTCGAGGAATAAATCCGGGAAAGCTTGTGCAACCATGATCTCAACAATGGAAAACAGTCGCCGAGGAGGAAACTCTGAAGTTTCCAATTCAGGTTAGCGTTTGGGATGGATTTTCTTCTACAATGCAAGTTTAATTTGGTGCAGTTAAATATTCAAGTTTTGTGATACTATAAACACTGCATGCATTATTTTGGATTAGACTAATGATTTTGATTGTTAGATTCTGCTACTTAATGAATTTTTGAGTTAGGCGTTTCATGTTTTTAGTATATTATTATTAAATGTGGTGTTCTTAAAATTATGTCATTCCTTTTCCTTCTGTGAGTTTCCTTGAACGAGTTCTGATACTTCCATTGTAGAACACTTTATTCTTTACTATTGCATGAAATGGTTTTCTTAGCGTGTGGTGTTCCAGCTTCATATTTAGCCCCAATTCATCTTGGACATCAACATCCAGATAATTTTTGGTGTGTTGGGGGGGGGGGGGGGAGATACACCTTTCATATCACCTTCAATGCATTTAGAAAATTTAATATTTGTCCAATTCTCAAGTGGATAACTCAAGTAATATTGCCAAGATGACATTTTCTTTTCCCTTTTTTCCCCTATGCTTTGCTCTTTATGCTTCATGCTTCTACGAAGCTAGGTTGACAACCTTTAACTACTAAGCTTGCAAAATCTTGGAATTTAAAATTTACAAAATTTATTGGTTAGATGCAATTTTCTCCTTGACCTATAAAAATGAACCAAACAAAAGATGGAACAAATTAAATAATTATCTATTACATTGTTCTGTTTTACTTTAGTCTTATTTGGCAATATGAGTATTGAAATGGAATGTAT